TCTTCCCCACGCTGCCTCTCGCCGTGCACAGCTACGCTGATCGCTTCCAACCCCATTTCAATTCTGTGCAGTTAAATCCTCTCGAGATACTCTTTTTCCAGTTTTCTGCTAATCTAGACAAGCAAATACTCCAAGCCCCTTTATCTCACTTATTTTTTGCTTGGGACAGAAAGTAAGTTAAGTAGTCTCGCTTAATTTCACCCATAACAACTCATTACTGATTTCAGAGAGCAAGCGTTAGCCCAAAACACAAGTCTAGGCAATTCACAGGCCAGCCTGCGGGCGTTTTAACAGAACGGCTCGCTCTCCTTCAGGCCAACGACACTAACTTCACTGCATTGCTGTTACTTACTCCGTGCCCGTGGCATTTTTTCTGCACGTTGCAGTCATACTTGAGGACTGAATGTGGGTGGCACGTGCCATTCAAACAAACCTGAAAGACCACAAGGAAAAAAAAAAATCCTGCTGGGCGCTTTTTCGTCACTGTTTACCATGCTTGCCATAACCCTAAAAAGGATTCCTAGCCCTAAAGAATGACCAAAAGTCAATAGCGCAGGTAGTAATTACTAAAAACGTTAAGTACAGACCACCTTTAACTCATACTGCAAAATAGCAACTATTTCTAAAACCGTTACGGTCGTGAGAATTCTATGCCGTTTACAGATGCTCGTGCGCTATGTCTCACCTTCCCAGGACCACATTTTGTTCCTTCTTTTACCAGGAGAGGATCTAGCGCTGTGGGTCCACGCATAAAATCAAAAGACACGCACAGATGTTCTTGCACTTGAGCATAAATTATGGCACCCTTGACTTTTGTGAAGGGAATACGATTCGGGTAGGTACACACTAACTTTCCACATCCCAGATTCCTAAAAAATTCATTAGCACAATAAATTAGAACAGCACGCACAGCATCTGATTGATCACAGTGCTGGAGACGTTGAGGGAGGGGGATTTACACAAAAGAAAAACACAAGCGTGAAGTTTCAGAAGAGTTGAATCCTTGATAGCAAGGGAGAAGCCGTCCTAAGAACCATCAGAAAATGAAATCCTCGCACAATTAGGGGTGTGCTGAAGTTGCCCTCGGAAGTCTCCAGTTTCTCTACGCCACCGCTTCTCTAAAAACGGTTTCTGCAAGTCAATCCCGCCCAGCAAAAGAAAACCACACCGAAGGCGACCTTCTCACAGATTATCACTTTGCATCGACAGTAAAGGGAAGCACAAATTAAATATTCAACGCTTTGCATTCCCTTGAAACCTACGGCCAGGAACAGGGCTGATAGCCGTCCTTCGGGTGGTTGCCACAGTGTCCAAACCTATCCTGCTGACTGTTGACTTCTTCGTAACAGGCCAAAGGAGCATTTTTTGCACCTGGAAGTTTAGAAATAATACTGGTTACCACTGAGGGTAATACAGACTAAAATACCTCTGTTGCTTCTAACACTTGTCAGTTCTGGCCTCTGGCAGAGGGATACTTGGCTACCGCTCCGGTCCCATCGCTAGCCACCTCTGTTGGGGTTGTGGGACAGATCTCACGGACAGCGGCATGGCCTGAGCGGTCCAAAACACCTTCCTCAACAGCATCAGGGTGTGTTTCTGGCTCGCCCTCCTCTCTGAGGGGCAGCGGGGCATGCGTGACTGGCCGTGGCCATGTTCAGTCTGAAAGCCCCATGGAAGCTGCCCCCCTCTCCTGATGGCCCGTGCCCTTCCCCTCGCTGCAAGCGTGGGAAATCCATCCTGCCACCTCCACTGCCCTTCCCTA